AAATATGTGTTTGTTAAAAAGAAAATTTTCTTCCTTTGTTTCACTCTCTCCATCAGATCTTCCTACACAGTGGAAAACAGCCTCCCCCTCTACCTCCCATAATCCAGAGGAATAGAACAACCAATAGATCTGTTGGTGCATGACAAAATTCTTATAGAGTAGTGAATAAGATAAATGTTTTCCTGGCCAAGTATGAGCCGAGACTTCTCTTGCTCCTGCAATAAACAAATACTAGCCTTTTGTTCAGGACACGGTATCTGCACTTCATTCCTTTTATCACTATAGAGTAATTTCATTTACAGGCGAATTACACAAAAATCAGGTAATAACAACAGCGGACCATAAGCCTTAAATCTAGCATTATTAATGGCATAAATAGCCAGAAGAATCAAAAGCTGGAGGACAAAATAAGATTGTTTTCACAGCATGTCGCTAGGTATTAGCAAGCCTGTCATGCAGAAGTATAGCTATAAGAAATCATAAAGAAAAATGAGAACTACAAGAACCATGGTGAAGATGAATAAATTAGCATCTAACTTGAATATTCATGGAACATCAGTCATTATATTCATAAGTAGCACTACAGCTTCTGTACTTACAGTTTTAAATAAAAAGATTATTGTTTCAGTGTGAGATAGAAGAAACAAAACCACAGACCAAAGTATTTTAAACATCAGCGTGGACAAGGAATGTTGTCCTATCCAAATACCTTGTGTTCAGTATAAGATCATGTAAATCATATCTCTTGTTAACGAAAGCACACTGAACCTCTCTTCTTTTCTTTTTAATCAGCAGCATTTGGACACTTTCTCCAAAGCATCAAAAACATTTTGCAGAGTTACCTCCTCCACAATCACCACCTTGTCTCTCGATTTAGACCCAGAGCCTATGGATACCTGCCTCCGCTTCACCCCCAACACCTGTTGGTTGAGAGAACCAAACTTGTGAACCTTTTTTGTACTAAAACAGAGGTTCTCTACATAAATGCAAGATATCACGACAAGAAATTGTTAATTTTCATAAATAACTCCAGTTATTCAACCATGTTTACAGTTGTGATTGAACAGTAAGCACCTCATTATTATTTTTTCAGAAGATTAAATGCTCTAAATCACACTTATCGCTATGGAAGAGAGAAGCTTTTCATCTATTATTGGGCTAAGCCAGGGATCCCAGTTGATTATATCACTCATGAAATCACATCCTCTCTCTTAAAACATTTAGTCTTTCATCCTCTCAGTTTCAAACTCTTCCTAGCGATTCATGGATTCAAAAAGTCAGTAAAAAAATTATTATTACCACATGCGTTCAAAATTAACTCAATCCTCAACTTGCATCAAATAATTACACCAACTTGATGAAATAAGAAAATGCCAGTTACACTATCATAATAAAAACTCCCAATAGAAGTTAAAAAAGTGCCAGCATAATAATCGACACATGCCATGATCCCAAAAAAAGCATCAATATTTGACTGCTTCCAAATACTCTACATTAAGCACATTGATGCTGTTTTCCAACTCAATGTGCATGTCTAGAATCCAGCAAATCCATCATCAAAATACTGATAGGCTAAATATAAGGACTATAGATTCACCATTCCTTTAGCATGCAAGCCCAAAGACAAAAATAAAACCCTCTCTAATTAATTCATGAACTGTAAGAATCCGTTCTACCGTTTCTCTCCAAATAAATATAAAAAAGGCCACTTTCATCCCCCGCCCTCATACTACAAGTCTCCTTTCCTCTAGAAAATTCAGCCAAAACCGTACCAACTCAAAATATTTCTATCCATATGCGTAGTACCAAAACATCAAAAATTTTGACAGGCATTGATTAACATCACACATGCCTGTAAAATTTGATGAACCGTAAGAATCCGTTCTACCGTTTACATCAAAGAAAATTGACAGGCATTGATTAACATCACACATGCCTGTAAAATTCTCGAAAATCAAGCCAATAATCCTTATCATAAAAAATTAAAAACGAATAACCAACTTATAACGAAGGGGAAATTAAAAAAAAAAAAAGAACTTACAGAGCTAATGTAATCAAGAAGTGCAGCATTAGCTTCACCATCTTTAGCAGGTGCATCTATTTGCACCCCCACCGCTTCATCACTCAAATCTACATACAATACCAGGAAGGAAAAAAAAATTGAAGCTTTAATTTTTAACCTAAACAAGAATCAAAACAGTCCTTTTGAATAAACCCTTATGAAAAGAATTTAGTCAATTTAATGCTATATTCATTGCATTTAGACAACTCGATTAAATATAATTCAATAATTAACATACATTATAATTACGTTATCAAAGCTTGTTAATAGAGAAAATAATAGCCAGGTCTCATCCTATTTTCATCAAGAAGGGTATTGTGCAATATATATGATGCTCAACCTCACTCTATTTAATTAAAGTGAAAAAATAAAAAATATATATAATTGAAAGAAAAGAAAAATCGAACTAAATGTGAATAATTAATATAAATAAAAGAGCAAGAACTTTCCCTCTTCAATGTAGATTGCACTCTTTAGTTATTTATAGTGCACTCTTCAATTTTTAAAAAATCAAAGTTTAGCCCCTTAATTTTTCAATTATTATATATATTTCAGTTTTAAAACTATATTTTCATGACGTTGTACTTTCTATATATACTGAAAATAACCGGGAAATATACGAGTGGATGACGTCTCTTACGCCTGGAAAAACCTACCCATTAGACACCCATTTTTTTTTGGAGAAAAAGAGGTTCAAGCATGCAGGCAACGGCTTATTGCTTTTGGATCAGGCAGCTGCAGCTACGATTGGGAAGTGACCAAAGTTCAAGAAATTTCAGACCAGGAGTTGAAGAAATTTCAAAACGATGTGCCATCAACAACTATATGGTTCATGGTACAGCCATTAAAGACGACACCAACAAGTTCAGTGACTTGAACTGCAGGCATGCAATGGCTTGGAGACATCATTAGCCCCGTAGTTTACGACCCCATTCAATGGAAAGAAAAAGTGATCAGTTGGAGGAACATAAACTGGCTGGAGGATGTCAGCCATGGCTACCCCATCGGCCATGGCATGAACAAACTGGGCTCCTGCATTGTTGTAGTCAATGAAACTGGAGACTCTGTTATCATCATGTTCTACAGTGGCTAGACAACCTTCCTCTCATTCTTCTTCATGTTTTTAAGCTTTGTTCTTGAGTTTTTTTATCTTGTATTACTGTGTTGATCCCACACCATGCACGCCAATTTAACTCCCAGCACGAGAGGGGTGAAGAAATCTAGAGTCCGAGAAAGTGACGTTTTCAACTGTCTGTCTATGTTCTCTCTTTCAAGAGTAAGGTTGCTATCGAGTTGTAACCAACGAAGATTTCGTGTAATACTGCTAGCTTTCTCCCAAAACAAAGCATGCATGGAGTTTGGTCATGTTCTTAATTGCAAGTTCAAAGAATAAAACAAAAAATTAAGGCTATTCTTGATGATATTGTTACAATTTATTAAGCAATAATAATCTTCACAACAAGTATGATGTAAAACATAAATCGAAGTATTTTCTTCTTCTTTTTTTCCTATACCAACGATCCAATCACTATCTTTATATTTAGAAAGCTCCATATTATATCTCAATGACCACAAAAAAGAAAAGGCATCGTTTTGCATTCCTTTGCCTTATATCGGGATGCATTCTCTGGGTTGTAAATGAGATTGGGATAGACTCTCCATAGATCTACTCAAACATTGTACATGATATCAAGTCAAGTAACCAAGCTCCCCTCGAATCTTTTGAAATTAGTTGAATTAACAAAATCATCACCTCTCTCATCTTTCACGAGGAGCATTAATCTCTCGTCCACCTGGACAAATTTCTTCAAGACATCACTTGGAATGCTTTTTTTACGAGGAAAAAAATATATTATCCTATTAATTTGATATCAGAAAGTAAGTTGGCTTCGTTACCAGCTCAAGTTGTTGCCAATAAAAGCTAAAATCATCCACATATAACCACAGGATAACTTATGAAAGTTACTCTCAAGAAAATACGAAACAATGCGAGTATATCATGCTCTAAGTGCTTGCTTTAGACCATCCAAAATCTTTTTTGACCAGTAGACCCTTTCTGTCCCTCCAGTAAAGCTTTCAAGTTGTTCAAAACACATCTCTTCCTCAAACAGACCATTCAAAAAGAAAATTCCACACCTATTTTATAAATATTCCAATGAGTCGTATAGTCAAAGAGAAATAATCATACGAAAGGTATGAGGTTCTAGCAAGATGAGCAAAAAGCTAATGATAGTTATTTTCGAACCTCGGAAGGTTCTTGTTTTCAAGTGCGGGTTCAAGTGCGGGTCTTATAATGGGATTCTATTCCAAACTTGTCATTGAAATCTCCATTTTTCATCAGAAATAAGAAACAAAATCCATAAATTGGAGAAGATGTGCTATGGCATCCAAAGAATTAAAGGTGGCAAGAATAAAAAACCAACAACTTATAGCTCCAAAAAACAGTACATGGGCGATGACAGCCATCATGGTAAACAACAAAGAACTTTACAGCCATCATGGTCAGTCTCCTTTACTTGGACACTTCCCTGGTTGGTTTGTTTGTTCAAGACTCCAACAACTTCAACAAATGTATCTTTTTGGCAGGAATATATATAGGCGATGACAGAGTCATTCCCTTTATAGGCCCAAAAGCCGAAGGTCCCATGAAGGCTTGCAGAAAAATGTGCTATACAAGAAAAATGCATCATGAAGTGGTAGAAACCTCCCTCGATTGCTTCCTCTCTGGAGTATTCCTCTATGTTTATCGTTATGGGATGAGCATGCGGAACCTTCAACTCGGCTCTCATGTCCTCTGCTACCTGCACCACCAAGGAATCGAAACCAGCGAGTGAAGTTGTTGAGACTGCAAAAGAAAAGGTGGAAGATGGTTTTGGCACGTACAACCTCATTTCTAACAACTGTGAGGACTTTGCAACTTTCTGCAAGACATGAACTTCCTTCTGCCAGCAAGCTAACCGCCGGTAGACTTTGGCACGTAACCTTTTGTGAAGCCTACAGCAAAGGAACCACCGATCTCTGATACAAACAATTGAGCCCCGATACTCCCTCTTTCTAATAGATTAATACCATTCCTCCCCGAGTAAGTTATCCTGGACAGTTAAATCGGGTCCAAAGACTGCCATCAGGTAGCTCGTGGTTCTAGGAATGAGGGGTTTTCTGAGAAACTCATTGGGGAGAAATATTCAAAGACAAACTACAACCTTCTTCTGTTACCAACAATTAATCGTAAAATACATGTTGGTGCTTGCATTTTAACTGTAAGAAATAACCGTGATGGACGAAACTTCTATTCCAAAATGCCTTGCCTTGAACGACCAGAACCATTTTCTTTAGATTGATTGGTCCATCAGTTCAGACTGGAAACTCTTCCTACACAGATTCTATACAAATTGCATTTTATGACACTTCCAACAAACAAAATGAACACTAGGAGAGAGCATACCCATCAACATTGGGATAGCAATCAACTAAAGAGACTGAATCAATTTCTCGCAGACACATTAGCCTTCACACAACCAAACAAAGCTCAAAACTAACCAATTAACCAACCATACAAACAAAGATCAGGAACCAGATGTGGTGAGATAAGAGACAGGTTATGATTCATGCTGGTAGAAAATTAACAAGATGGTCATGCCTCGCCATTCACAAAAATCTCTACAAAGTACACACTCCACAAGGATGAACAAACGCAGAACATTAAGATGAATTACTGGAAGCAAAAGTACCCTAATGGTGACAAATTTTCGTCCACGAACGAAGCCATCATGGAAGAGTTGAGCATGGCTAAGGTTGCACAAAAAAGTAAAACATTGTACGGGCAACCCCATAGTCAAGCCTAAGCAGACAATGGATCTAACATGTAATTTTGTCTAACCAATAATCTATAGATGCAAAGTACAACTGCAGCAGCCTTAACAGATTATTTGTTGATTTTATCATCTAAGTTCACAATCATTACAAGTCTCGTCATGAGCAAACCAGCTAGGAGCTGCTTAGTACCCAAAGCTTGCACCATACATGGAGCTATAACCCCCTGTATGGCCTGTGTGTTCTGGATTGGATGGTGGAGAAGCATACACTGAACTGTGAGAATAAGGATTATACCCCTGGTCAGCAGGCCCACCAGTTTGAGGCTGTGCTGGTGCTCCAGCTTCAGCCATGAAATTCTGCAACAGAAGAGCCACATCAGAACTGGGGCGATCCAATGAAATGCATATGCACTATTATTCATGCAAATCAACAGCTGGGATCTCCAACAACCATATTTAGCCAAACTATTAAATCAAATGTTGGAAGTCCATCTCATTAAAAAAAAAGAACAATTTCTTTACACAAATGAGAATACAAAAACATCAGCAATTTCCATCTAGTAAAAGATTACTCAAGCCAGTCGTTACATCAAAAGAAGAATTCGGTTAGGATTGCATTCATCCACGTGAACTAGGCCAACCACACATACACTATAAGAATCAACCATCAAAACTTCAAATCTTCTTCCCCACACTATCTTCTTTTATTGACGTCATTCTAAGCAAGAAATTTACTGGGCAGCTTCACACTATGAAGCAATAGTTATCAAAGTTGGCCTAGCAAGCCAACCCAGTGACCCGTCGACCTGGGACTTGCCCAGGGTAGGTTTGCTTTTGAATCGCTTGGGGAGTTGACCTAGTCAAACCTGTTGATTAGGTGGCCTTGCTGGTCAACATGCGACCCAATCAAAACCCAGGTGATCAATGATTCTTTTTTCACCATTTAGTTTTTTTTTTTTTTAATCTGAAACATCTTTCAATAAAAAAAACAATAGAAAAAGGTCAACTCGCTGACCTACAGGTTAAACCACCCAACCAACGACCCAGGTCTTGGGCTGGGTCATAGGCATAAAAGCCGCAACAATAGATAGCTAGCAAGCTACATAATCTTGTCCAGAACCTCCAATTCAAATCATGGAGACCTAACTAAAATTACACCTAGTGCACATGGATTTTTTTAAAAAATCTCTAAGAGGCTCTTTCTATTATACCAAATATGTTTGTATTTACTGACATAAACCCTCCTGCATCAATTTCACTTTTCCCAATATTGCCTGCATGCATGTACAGACACACTCCACATAACAGATGTCATAAACCTCAACAAATATTTCATGACATTCCTAGAGACCACAATATCACAACCTCCTATTGCAAGGTCCATTTGATAAATAGAAGCAAGCCTAGTCAAAATCCCATTTAAACAATTCTTGCAAGCAAATACCCATTCAGATAAAATCAGCAGTATAAAAAACATTTAGTCCAAATACGATATATCCAGAAAAGAGAGGGGAAGATCAATTTTAGTTAAAGAGATAAAGCACAGAATATTGCCTGTATCAGCTGCTGAGCTGTTTGGACTTGAGAAGCAGTTCCACTGATTTCAACTGTCATTGCCTCGGGAACACCTCTAGTTTCTTGTATAGTAACAGTTGCCCCACTAGCACGTCGAATGTAGCTTATACTTGCACCAGCTGTCCCAATAACAGCATCAGCATAAGATAATGGAATTTGCATTTGTTGTGTAATCTGCACAAGAACCCCGAAACCCATCAATCATTTTGAAACCTCAAAAAGTGCTGACCTGTGCCAGCAAGAAATACAGGATGAGGTTATTTGGTTTGGAAAAAAATAAATAGAACTGTTTCATTTGCAATGGCAGAAAAAGTTTGTTAACCAAGCTAAAGATTATATTCTCATTTCAAAGCCTAAGAAAAATTAAAGACCCATCCCAAACAAAAAAAAAAACAACATGATACTCAGAAAAAATGATTGTAGACATCTTTGTATGTGATTTGTTTTAGCAGGTCTTTCATTCCACTACATAATCTGGGCTGTAAAGCTACTATATGAACTCTTTTATGGAAAATTATAGCATTACACAAAGCTTCCTGTAAGCACTACACCACCCTTGCCAACCCCAAGAAATCTGTGTCAATAACCCATCATCAATCTCTATCACGTTCAATCAACAACATTTTCCAAAGGATGGACCCAGACAACAAAGGACTCTTCTCAAAAGCATGACAATTACTTTACACAATGATTGACGTTCCTTAACAAATGAGGGGGGAAAGAAAAGAAAAGAACATGTTTATATAGCACATAAAATCTTTTTTTTTTTTCCTTTCTGCTTCACAAATCAGGCATGTCATCCCACATCCTAATCATCTCCAACAAGAAAATAGCATCTTAAATTTCCTTTGATGAGAGAGGGGGTGAAAACAAAAGAGAATAACATAACCTGTGTGATCATTGATGGTGCTGCTTGGGCATTTGATGATGCATGGCCACCCATGGGTGTTTGTCTACCATATGCAGATATACCCTGGTGAGGTTGTTTTTCCATTGGAGGTGGCATGTCAGATGGAGGATAGTAATTGTCGAGTTGCCGTGGAGGCTGCATATATTGGGGATTTTGGCCATAACCAGTTCCTCCAACAGGATTCAGAGGAAGGGATTGAGGTCCACCCCATGATTGATGTGGTGGCATCTGTTCCATTGGAGGATTTGCCATTTGCATCTGATAAATATTATAAATCATTCCATAAGGCTATTCAAGCCATAATAGATAAAGTCATTCCAATCTCAATGAAGAGCAGCTTACCTGCATTTCAAACAATGGAATTATACTTCGGTCGACTAAAAACTTCCTGAGCTGAGATGCAATTAACTCCACTGCTTTGTGCACTCCAACTGGTTCCCCTAATACTTCAACCACCCTATCATCTTGAAGAGAAAAAACTGGAAGCTCTTCTGCACCAGTTTGATCCAACAAATAAAAAGTTCAGATGAACTGATAACATTCAGCAGTAAATCAAGCAGCATCTGAATCGAGAGCATGAAGACTAGCAAAGCAAAATGAGCATATGAGACACTCATAGCCAGGAACAAGAGGCATTAATAGTACCAATTATTATGATGAGTTTCATAATAAAGCAGGGGCAGGAGAGGGGTGAGGGCAAAAAGGTCCACTAAATGAGTATCCTTAAATAATTTTGCCCAAAATTTTTTTAGCGAAAAAGGTTTGCACTTGTCAGATGGGTGTTACTAATCTTAGGATTCAGAATTATGTAATCATGAGCCCCAATAATAAATTATGTAATCCTGAACCTCAATAATAAAAATTGCTTGTGGTGGTCACTGATTAGATATTAAAACCAACATCATAATGGCGCCGCTATAAATAACCAACAGTGGTAGACTGGTGGCGGCAGTGGAAAAAATAGCAGAGTCAGAGGCATTGTCAGCAATGGTGTGGTTAAGGAATATAAACAACTTAGCAGCAAAAATAACGGCATGCATTACAGAGGTAAAGAAAAGCAATGCAGTAATACCCTTGGTTCACCTCTCCACCATTACTCAGAAACTTAATTAGTAAGGTTAGAGTATGACAACTATTTAAGATAATTTCTATTTACAAAGAACTTGGTTAATTTGTCACTACAGAATAAAATGCAATAGAACAATTGAGGAAACACAAACCCATAGCAACCAGAAACCATTATTGACAAAATATGATTTTCTAAAAATGCCAAATCAACTGTATAGCTTCACTACAACAAACAAAAATAACTAAATTTGAGAACACTGGTAACGAAATGAATTCTACAGCATTTCTAACTCAGAAGTGAAAGAGGATGACCTGCACCAAGAACTCTAACTATGCAAGCTGATGCCTCTTGGATGGATTTAACAGTTCCCCCTTGTTTTCCTATCAAACTTCCAGCTTGTGAGGCTGGTACTAGCAGCCTTGTCGAAACCTTAGCTCCACTGCTTGGTGGAGCATGAGAAGAATCACCCTCCAAACCATCAATAATGCGTTTGTGAACCCTCAGTAGGCCATCCATAGCAGGAGGAAGAGAGGAATCAGGCTCCTCCTTGGCAGATACCATTACCTATATATAACAATGTTGTATAAGAAGCTGAGGAAAAATTATTATATGATTCAAGTCCAAGAGAATTAAGGGAAGGGAAAGAAATTGGATGGAGCAACACGAGATAATTATTAAATAAAAGACAAAGAAGCAACTCTTTCTAAATAACATTTCAAAATAGAAGGTATCCTATTATAATATATTTTATAACTA